GAGGCATGAATAGGTGAACCTAAACATAGAGGGGTGAAACAGAGGATTGGTTGCATTTCTTATTAGGAGGCTCCCAGGTTTCCATCCTGATGCTCTCCATAGTTGCTGCAGCACTGTCCCTTGGTACGCCTTGCTACCTCCAAGCCTATTCCCAACTCTCGAGAGTAAGCTTACCCATTCTTTCCACTCCTCTTTTCTCTGAATCTCCTCTGTGTCTCTATGTGTTTTTTAATCTATCTAATGCCCTTGATAAGATCCCAGCTTCTCTCTGACCCTCACTGATTTCTAGTTTTTCCTTTAGCATAATGCTGCTGCATCTGTGGACAGAGCTTCCCTCACAAGCAACTTGGATATTCTACAGCCCAGCTCATACAGGTCCCTCTTCTAAGCCTCTATCCTCTCATACCACTTGGTCTATGTTGCTTTCAGCTTTGTTTTACCACAGATTACTTTTCACAGCCTGCCTTTCTTCCAGTCCTCACATCAGGAGATTTTTTGCTTTGTCTTCTCTCCATCCCACTTGATGCTGTGCTGATGATTTCTTTCCCTGTCCTCTCAGAGTTGTCTCAACAGGTAATAGGTGTGTGGTCGTAGCACCATGATTCCTCAGGGAAATTTTGGAGAGCAATAGATCTCCACATGGTCCTGCCTGGGAAACAGTAAGAAAAGGGTTAGAAAGAGTGCAAATGCTTTGCATGTGTGTTGTGGTGCATTAAAGATGGATTGCACTTGTGCTTGATGATTTCAAAGGGCTTACTCATTATTTTTGTGTTGGTTCCACATTTTTGAGCGTGTTCATATCTTAGCTCGTCAGAGTTTATCCAGCTGGGGCCAAAAATATCCCTGGCATAATGAGTTCGTTCATCCAAGCCCAAAACCTTCATTTCCCTATTCAAATACATATCCACCATCAGCGTATTTGAAGGGAACGTGGTCCTCGGTATCATTTTGGATGACATTGCTGAATTCAGGCTTCCTTGCACCCTGGCACTCTGCATCCAATCGCTATAAATATGAGCAACAATTATACATCCTTTCTTTTCCCTTTTTATGGGTGTGCAAGGACAATAACTTAAAGCACTTGCTGTTATTCGGCACAAAAACAAATAACAGAACAACTCCGGCTGTGATGCATTTCAACAGCATAACTTAGACATGACACTGTTATATTAAGTTATAAATATCTATCACTTGACAATGCCAGGGAAAAGGAGTATTAAGAGAAAAGGAAAAAAAGCCCAAACCCTGACTTGTGGTTGCTATAGCAATTAACAATGGGCGTCCTTCTTCAGGAGCCAGAGATGCTGATGCAGCTAAAAGAAATGTTTGTGTATGGCCATGGTGGGGACGGTGACAGATTAGGGAGTAGTGGCCTTGAGCCTTGGTGTAATCCAATTCTAAATAAATCATAAATCTAAGTGCAGACTGGCAAGCTGGAGGGAATATCAATGTGAGGAGTGTGAGAGAAGGGTAGCTTTAGTTTTGGATATGGGCAGAGGTGAGGAGGGAGGAATAGTAGGATAAATGTGCAAATCCAGATGGAGAGGGCTGTGAGGTGGATTTTTTGGCAAAGGACACAGCTAGCCTACAATCACAGCCTCCCACTGGTCCTTTATGGGATTCCTTCCTGTAGGAGCTCTTGTATCCTCTAAGCACCATGGTCCTCTTTGCTTCAGGGCTCATTATAAGCCTTAAAGCTAAAGGAGAAGAGATATGTTAAGGGAGTTCATAGCTTCCTTTCCATCATGGGATGTGGCCTGTGTAATCCATCGCCTTCCACCTTAGGGCAGCCTACGCCGTTACCAGGTTTGTAAGTCCTCTGGGCCCAGGCTTTTATGGAATCATGCCAAGATCCCTATGGGAGGTCTTGCTGCCACACAATACAGGGCAGGACCACACACTTTGTGCTTACTGTTGGGCTAAAGAAAAACCTCTGCCCTGTGGAAAATATAACAAATAAGGCTAACAGTGACCCTGTGTCTTCAATCCCGACATGTGGATTCAGCCTTGATATGGAGTGGAAAATAAAAATGAAGACAGCTCAGTCAACAGCATGTCTCAGAAATTAATGAGCCCCTTTGCCTCCAACACCTGATAATTACATCTTTCAATTAAATGAACTCTCTCCCTGTCCAAGTTCTTATAAATTAACTTCAAGTGATGCATCTTCGTGGGCTGCCAAAGCTTCCTTATGCCAAAATCTGTGCAAGCTTCCAGGCCCTTGCAATGATGGAGAATTATAGCTCCAGATGAAACTAAAGGATTTAATCCAGCCCAACTCCTAGGTTACTGCCACAAGCAGAGTCCGTGGTTCTGGTTCAGCACCTCGTCTCCCTGTGAAATGAAGGAGAACAAAAGAGCTTAGAAGCTAGCGCGGGAATGACATGTATGGAGATGTTTAAGTCCCACCATTTGCTTGGGCTTCTTACTGCAAAGTTTGGGACTTCTTTGACTCAAAACACAGCTTTCCTGTGCCTGCTTAGAGATGAGGACCTTTAGCAAGGTAGTGGAGTGATGGACTCCACTTTCGGGGGGGGGGGGATTTGTGCCCTTATAAACAAATGGTTATAGCAAAAGGCACTTGCTACGGAGGAGAGACTCCTGAGACTCCTGTCACTGTGCTGAGGCCTATTTCCATACTCTGCAATTACAGTTTGGGTACAGAGGTGCACTGAGTTATGTGTTCAATTTCGTGATGAGATCACGTGTGCTCAGAGCTGGGGAAGACAGATGAGTTTCTGTCTCCTCCTCCACTCAAACGTGTCCTACAGTATTTCTAAGGCTCCCAGTACCTGTTTCATCACCTTCAGCCTGGAGAAAATCCATGCATAAAGCGGGGGCTCCTGGTCTAATTCACTTTGCTGCACACACAGACATGCTGAGTATAGGGAGCGGGGCTGCAGATAGAGATCCCACCCCAGCAGGCTGAATGCTACAAACCCAGACAACTGCTCCTTTCTCTTTCTGTTCTCCTCTTCCCTTAAGTAACCAAGTGCAATCAGCACAGTCTAAAGCCAGGTTTTTGTAAGCTAGCAATAAATCCAACCAGCTTTTCCAAAGCACAGCAGGCATGTGATGCAGTCACCTAATTCAGCCCCAACTCACTGGCCAATGGCTAGGAACACTGAGGATGTATTCCCTCTCAAACCCACCCAGGCTTTTATTCCTGCTTGCGCAGATGCGCGCCATTTCAGTTAAGGCAATTAGCAGTGACCAAGGGCAACTGCAAAGCTCCAATTAAGCCAGCACAAAAGCTAACATGATCTACAGCATTGTGGAGCAGGTTGGAACACGTATCCCCGACAGCAGCTATCTGCCAGATTAAAGGGTTTATACACTCTCTGTTGTCCCCTTCCAGACCTACAATCTCTCCTCTTTCAATTGCCCAAATGCTAATCTCCAGTCTTTGTATCTTCTCATTAATTTACCCCGTGATAGGGGCCTCAGGGGAAGATCCTAGCTTTTCTCCTATCTTTCTGTCCTATTTAAACTGTAGCCTGCAGCCACAGTGCCACTGTGCCCTATTCCCCTTCATTTCCTTAGGGATAGCCTCTGAGTGTGATTTAGGCTTTGGTGACCTTTTCTTAGCCGTGACGGGTGCTAGACTGAATGTTTGCTGTTTGCTCTGTCAGGCTGTGAAGCAAAGGAATAGGAACAGACTGCAGAAGAGCAGTCAGGGAGGAAACCGGTCCTTTGTCAGGCACAGTGATTTCTTGCTGGGATGATTTGGGATGGCTCCTACTTTGGGGGATGTGTGTGTGGAAGGGGCTGCCTTAAGCCCTTCAGCAGAGATCCATGGCTATTTGGGGAAGAAGGGATTGCTCTTTGTAAGACGTGCTCTGGAGTTCTACACCTGTGAAAAGTGGGAAGCTGCTTTACCTGGAGCCTGAGCCTGGGGTTGCTTTCAAATGGGAGTTGAGATTCTGCTAGTAAATATACAACACATATGTGTCTGTTGAGCTCGATCATTTAGTGTTGAGAGACATAGTGGAGGTGGGTACCAGCAATGGTGTTTAAGCTCTGGCTTTGACTAATATTGTCTCAGACCACATAGATGTAGGCAAGGCACTCCCGGCTCCTTCTCCATGATTTGACCCATGTCTGTGGACTCCATCCCATCCATGCTTCATACCTGGCAGCTCTGAAACACTCCAAACAAGGTGTTGCTTGCAGCCTAAAAAACACTTGTATTGGGATTTGTCATTAACAGGACATTGCATCAAAGCAAGGGCAGAGACCGGCACAGATTTCCTCTTTCAGGCAGAGACTATGGAAGGAGGGGCAGCTAATGACAGGGAACCTTTCTGAGGAGGAGAGAAGACTATTATGGGGACATGACTGCACCTGCGTGTTGCAGCCATTGGTTCACATCTGGCAGAGACTGGGAATCAATTACAGTGATTGGCCCCTGGCAGCAGTTCAGTGGCCTGAGCTAAATGGTCAGGTCAGATCCTGATGCAGTTTCACTTTGGTTCTTACTTGGACCCCTACTTATACAGCAAAAGCCACTAGTACATTTAGTGCTAACCTGTGTCCTCCTTAGCAGTTAAGGCTGAAAAGCCACTTGTTGAATAGGCCCAGGCAGTGAACTCATTTCCTGAAAGATGGGTGCTCTAATTCAGGGTTGATAGGCAGCTGGGGTAAGGTATTTGCTGCCTGCTTGGAGGATATGTAGGAATTTCAAGGCTAGAGCCCAGAAACCCTCCACATATTCTCTTAAAAAGAACATCCTTTGTTTTGGATATGGTTGTGAAAGGAGAAAATCAGAGTGTTTATTTAATGCAGAGAAATGTCCTTCTGTAGCTTTTGCACCTTTCAGCTGTACTTAGTTTTCCCTTACTGCATCAGGTTCTCTTGTGTGTTAGCACTGAGCATAAAACCCATGAAATCCCTTTCTTGATGTTTGTACATTGTCCCAAGTAACGCAGACAAAGCGGCTGTCACGAGCTGCTAGAATGGAAATTAATTTTAAAAGCACCATCATTTATCATTTTTATAGTAAAAAAATAAAAAAATAAAAAAGAGCAGCTACTGAGATTGGAGCAATTGTGGCAGCAACTTCCTGCACAAGAATTGGCAGAAGGTTCTCACAAAAGGGTAATGATATTAAAGTACTTAAAGGCAAAAACCCCAAGGCCCTACTGCAAGTAAACTGCACTGAAGCTTTTACTTGTGGTGTGGGACTTGCCTCTCACAGTTTGAACCACCCAGAAGTCAGGCATTGGCAATATGGCATGGGGGTTGGGAGTAGGTGGTCTTCAGATCCTTTCCAACCCTAACTATGATTCTATGATGGCTATCTGATCTGTATTTGGAGTCAACTGAGAGACACAGGTATGTTTAGAGGGCAACTCTCTGTGTCAACATGTGATGTTTGAAATAGATGGAATGGGTATTTTCTTTCATGAGAGCAGGAAGGATGGTTTCTACAGAAATGCTTTGATTTGCAACATTAGTAATGGTAGTATTGATATTATTGGTAAATGCAGCTATTCCTGATTGAAAGAGCGATCAATTCAAGAGCAATGTGGGTCCGACCTAACAAGTGTGTCAAAGACCTACCAGAGGCTCCAGCTGGGCATGGTTTGGACAACATAACCATGAGCTGGAAGACCAAACACCAACAAACATATGTGCATTGTCTGCAGGGATCAGGAGCAGCCCACGGGTCACTTTGTTCTGCCACAAGTGGCCACTGGCAGAGACGATGCTGTGAGTTGGGGCCAGGTTATCTCTGACTGAGCCAGGAGCCTCATTTCACATCTGATCTAGAGTGCCACTCCAGAGGAGCTCATTAAATTGAGCATAACACATCTTCTTCTTCCTTTACTTACTTGCTTACTCTTTTCCCCCTGTGTGGAATGAGTTAAAGGCCCCTCATTTCTCATCCATTCTTTCTATTAGAATCTTATCTCATTCCAGTCCTCCCCCTCCTCTCACACACTCCTCCTTTCCTCACACACATCTACTTGCTCCCTCCAGGAAGCCAGCTAATTATTTCCTGAATGCCCCCAGTGTTATTTTGCCTTGAGAACCTCTCCTGCTGGGACTTCTCACACGCTTATGATTCTCTGTGTGACAAAAGGTTTCTCAGTTTAGCTTTGAATGGGTATTTCTTTAATTTCGACATTTAGTCCTTTTGCCTCATCATCTGCACTTGGGCTGAGAATAGAAACTTCACTTGACATTATCTAAACCATTATCAATTAAATCCCTTCTTAACTGCCCTTTTTTTTGCCTTAAGCTGTGTGAGTTTGGGGGTTTTTACTCTCCTTCTTCGTTCCTGCATAACTTTCATTTGTAGATAAAGCCCTTTGCACTTCTGAATTAACTTTCCAAATACAACACACTTTTGGGTGTTTTTCTCCTTATTTTTTATTATTTTTTTAATACCACTGCATTGATCAGACCAGAACTCAGGATTCCAGTTTATTTCACACCTGAACTTTGAATCTGTGCAGACATCAGTATATTTGCTGTGTGTAACAGAGGTTCTCCAGTTGGGCATGGAGATTGTACCGATGCTGAGTCAGCAGGAGAATAGCATCAGTCAACAGATGAGTCCTGTGTCTCTATGTTACCTACAGGAACACATAGAGTGTTAAATCTGTACAGAGGCAAAGAAACCCAGCAGCACCGTGCTCGTCTGTACAGAGAAATCAAAGCAGGCACTTGTCCATAGCATCTGTGCTAGAACAATTTTGACCCAGACTGGTGAATGATGATGCAGGAGTTCACCCAAATACTTTCAGATGGTGTTTCACATATTCTCTGGGATGCTGTGACTGCATCAGAAGTTATATGAAGATAATAAAGAAAAGCAAAGATATACCCAGTGTGCTTTCACTTGCTATTCAGCAGCCTGCACCATCACTGCACTAACATCAAGATTACTCCACTCTACATGGAAGAGAGAAGTAATAGCACACATTACATATTACATATATATATTACATCTGTATATAGCACAGAATGTGAGGGATGTAATTGTCTGAGTAAGATCAAATATGATCCACCACAGTGGACTGTAATGGGGAATGCTTGGTCTGGTCAGCAAACATGGGCCAGCCAGTCATGACAGCTACAGCTCCAACATAACACATCCCAGCTTACAGTGAAAGCATCCAGCTCATAGTGCAGAGCTGGTGTGGGTGGAGGAATGCCAGAGGTAATGCAGAGTGAGTGATTAAGATCATAAATGCCTCTAGCAAGGTGTCTCTAAGGGGAAAATATTGGGGGTGAAACAGTGACAAAAATACACAGAAACCAGGATCTATTAATTCTTACGGAACAATCTGTCTCTTTGACCTTTTGTAGGATATTTTCCCCCCACTGGAATAGAACCCATGCAGAATTATAGTCCTATGAGTAAAAGACATCCAGGTCACACTTCTTTGACCCTCACATGCTTGTGACAACTGGAGGCATGCCAAGTTAAAAGCAGAAGCTACTGAGATTTAACCTAATCATAATAATTCTGCAACAGTTCATAACCAAACACAGAGAGGTTTGGAAGTACCAGGAATTTATGACTTGGAACTTCTTTAAACGTGAACCAGCCCCACATTTGTAGAACCAAAGGAGTGGAGAAAATACAGGTAAGCAGCTGAAATCCAAACCTGCAGCTTTCTGTATGTTTGTCTTTTGGAGATGGCACAAGAAGGAGCATTAACTGGTTGCTGTTTCACCTCTTTTCTTTGTTGTATCAGCTGCTAATTCAAGGCCTGTGGCCATGTCATAACCACTTTTATCCAGCTGCTTCAAACCCAAGTCCCAGTGAACCCTTTTGTCATTCAAGCAATGAAGGAGGCTGCCTCCCAGCTCGACAAAGGCTGCTCAATGTAGCCTCAGAGCACCCTGAAATCTATCAGCGCTAATTAGGGCCTGCTTAAAGGCTCCCAGGCTGCCTTTACTGGTTTGAAATGCAGAGTGGCATGTGAAAGCCCTTATGCTTGGCTCCTGACAGGAGCAAAAGCAAACAACAGGCCCTGCTGTGACCTCCATTTACGAGACTCATTTACTGCACTGAAGGCATCAACGTCTTGGAAATCAAAAGGGCAAATTAGCTTTGAACCCCAACTGGTTAAGATAGATTTCTCACTGGGACAGTGCTCCTGCCCACCTGGCTAAATGTCCCCTTAATCTTGGCATGTGTGGAGTTTCTTCAGGGGGGTTGGGTAGATGGAGTTTGGAAGAGATCTAGGAGTAGGGAGGTAGCACGCTGCAGCACTTCTCCAGTTGCCCCTGGTCTTTGACACCAGGTAAGTGCCAGCTGCCAAGTAACTAAACCACACAGCACTTTTTTTAACTAGTATTAACAGTTTTCTTTAAGTAAAGGCAGAATCTTGAGCTCTGACCCGCCATTGCACTGCCTTTTTCAGCTCCGTCCAGTGATGCTGTAAGCAATGTGTTCCATGCCTCCTCCCATGATGCATGCTCATCCCCATAAACCCAGCTTATTGCTGTCCTTAGGGGAAGAAGGGTTCTCTAATTCATCCCTCTTCACAGCTCCACAGGAGCCCAAGACCATCTGTCTATTTTCAGTCAAGTCTACCCAAATTCCCTGCCCAGTAGGCATGAAGCCACCAGAGGATCCTTTCCTCCCAAAGTTCAGCCCAGCCATAATTGCTGCCCATGTAAGCCAGCTATTGGAAAATGTGGGTGGAGAATTGGGAGCCTTAGCAAACAAAACTGACAGCATCTTGCCCAGGAATAATAATATGTTTAATTTGTCACCCGTGGGATCTTTTAGTCCTTATGGCAGAAATACCAGCGAAATACTTCCTCTTCCCCATCTGCCCCACTGCCATCCGTTCTTTTCTCTGCCTTTCTCTCTTAATCTTCCTGAGACTCAAGTGCCTATCTCATTAGGAGATATTTATATTTTCCATTCTGCTGGCATATGGTTCTGTGAGCCTCCTCCAGTCTTTCAAGAGGAATCTGAGTTTATTGAATGCTTCTCTCCTCTTACAGCTCTGTGTCCAAGTTCCAGCACTGGATGCTATGAGGTCCTGCCTATCCCCTGGGACCTCTCTCTTGGGGACCCACAGTTCACTTTGGCAGTGCCAATGGGGAGAGGCAGTGAAGACATCAAGACATTTAGTGTAGCTTATCTTTTCTTTTGCTTACCAGCAAGCTGGTGGCTGGACAGCCCCATATCTGCTTGAGAACAAAGTGGGTATTTACCATTAATAAACATAGCCAAATATAACCATGCTTGACCTGGAAGGGAATATGGGAAGAAAGGATACCAAGAGGAACCAAAGGCTGAAAGATAAGCAAAGAGGAAAGGTTTTCCTCTTTGATACCTCAATGTGAATGTTTTAAGCTATTACTTCTCCTTAATTCCCACCTGAAAGTGCATAGCACTGCTACATCCAGAGATGCTCTGGGGCTGTGTAGCAGTCACCCTCAGTTTGCAGCTAAGAGGCGAGGGAACCTCACCCAGACTGCACAGTAAATGACTGTAATGCACCAAATCTGTTAGAAAACCAGATTTCTCAGTTTCCAGAATGATCAAGCAGCTCTTTTATTGCCTGGCCAAAGGGACTACAAGCTGTGAGACCCCTGAGCTCTCTCTATCCTCCTAGGGTTTGACACAGGTAGTGCCAGTGATGCCATGCAATGACGGTCACAACTAGGACTACCTGTACCAGGTATCAGACTGAATCCAGACCCCTCTAGACCACTCTGAACTCCTGTTTTTCAGCAGTTGGCAGAAGCACCTTGGAAGGTGGTGACGCTGTTTCTAAGGTTGTACACAGGACAGAAAGAGCTCAGGTTTTGGAGAAGACTCTTGCCACTGAGGCTCACAGCACGGAAGCTGATGAGATGAATTGATTTCATATCTGTGAATAACATCTCTGTAAATACTACCAGATGCTCCATAAACCCTGCTGACATGGCAGCGAGGTTAAGGGATCTAGCTTCCCCCATCACTTCTGTTCCCAACCTAAGCCCAGAGGCCAAACCAAACCTTGGGTCCCCCCATGCTCTTCCAGCCCCTCTCAGTGCACGGGAAAGATCACCGTTGTGGCACAGATATGGTAGCACCACCAGCAAGCTCTGTTGTGCACACATGGT